CAGCGTTAATTAATTATCCAAATAAGCAACAGAATTTCAGTGAATTTATTACCTTTTCTTCTCCGGACTCAGACTAGTAGGCTGTCTGTCGCCGACATTAAGAAAACAGAAAACAGCAGGATAACCTAATAAAGACGTATTAATTTAAGCTTTTGCAGCGGTTAAAACAGAAGAAATTACATTTAGAAACAGCTTTTGTCCTGATAAGCATCTGTGCTTTTTAGCGGAAAAATCCCATCATAAGTTGCTACGAGGTTGACTGCGAGATACTGGGTACCCTATTTGTTACTATTTTCCACTATTTTCCACTATTTGCCACTATTCGCCATTATTCGAGACTGTTCGCCACTATTTGCACTATTTGTACTATTCGCTATTCGGGACTATTCGCTGTTTGCTATTCGCGACTATTTGCTATTCAGGTTTTCCAGACACCTGGTCGACGGCCTGGTAAGCGATACTGATGACCACTGCACCACCGCAACTGGCCAGCAATGTTCAGAATTTTTTAAGTATTTATCGAGTTACCCTTAGCATTATTGAAAGCTAACCGTAAACAGGCTAACCGTAGAGCTATTTAGGCTAAACGGAGTGCTATTCAGGCTAACCGGAGTGCTTTTTAGGCTAACCAGAGTGCTTTTTAGGCTAACCAGAGTGCTTTTTAAGCTAACCGGAGTGCTTTTTAGGCTAACCGGAGTGCTATTCAAACGTTTTGACTGCCGGTCACTTTATAATAGTCTATGTTGTAAATCCCGATATACCGGGTGCCGGGCTCACCAAAATTAGTATTCGGCCATATAAACAAGGATTTGACATTATTAACTGAAATTTTTAAAAAATAATTTTGACTGCCAGACATGGTGTATTTTGAAAATCCTGTCCAGCTGCCGGACATAGAGACACAGCGTATTTCAAACCAAATAAATTATAAATCTTGTTATCAACACACTCTTTTTAGGCAGGTGCAAGTTCCATTTAGGAATACAGCCCATAATGCAGGTAATAAAAGTGGTCAAAATAACCACAGTTAAAAGCAAACTTGCACAGGACAAAAAAAAAATGTGGTCAGTATAAAATGTGGACTGGACAGTTTAATTAAAAACATGGACTGAGGTATAAAATGTGGACTGGTAGGTAGGGACTATGGACTTGGTATAAAGCATGGGTTTGGGAAACAGTGTTATGTATGGAGTGGGTAATGAAAAAAAAAAAAATGAAAAAAAATGGACTAGAGCATGGTCATGAACTGTCAAAAAAGTGCAGAATGAATGTACATAATATGTAAACTAATGAGGACCAAGATTGTAGAGTACATATATTGTATTTTAATAGTAGTTATGATTTAACTAGAAACAGACTGAAGCAATAAACAAAACACTAACAGTGGCAATATGGACAGAAAATGAAAGAAACTTTTCAATAAAAACAGAAAGGGACAAGTCGCAGTGACAACTTAGCTAACTGTGTGACACAGGGATTCTTGGGATTCTTCTTCTTTCCCATACATGTAATCCTTTCCTCTCAGCATCCTCAAGTTTCATCCAGACTCCCTTGACCATCACTGCTGACCTCAAAAGACGATTGGCAATGAGTCATTCACATGGTTGCATAAAATGTTTTTATGATAATTGTTTTCAGATGAGACAACTGCTGCTTTTTCCAAAAAAGATGGATTGTCCAAGTTACCAAAGTCCTCAAGCTCAACAACAGGTAAGAGTTAGCTCAGTTATCTACACTGTACATGTAATTTGTACTGAGCTAACTTTTTATATGGTCTAAAAAGCCTAATTTTCCTACCATCTACAACACATTAAATTCTAAGACATAGAATTATGATGAATGATACCAGTTTTGCCCCATGGCAAGTTTGCCCCCACCGAGTTCGCACCCCTGAACTTATTCTAAACTTTCTATTTCGAATTTGCCTTCACCTTCAATGCATTAAAGAATGAGAAGTAAACTTGTTTTGTGTGATTTTGTTTCATCATGGGCACAATGTTGTCTTTATTTCTTGGTAAGAGAAAGATAAATTTTAAGCAGTTGATCGCTAGTTGAGTCGATGTGGGGGCGAACTCGCCACAGGGTGAAACCGGCAGCTACCATTATAATATTTCAACTTAAAGTTCCTATTGTTCCCCAGACGATTAACAAATACTGTAAAAATTGTTATGTTTAAAGTTGATATGAAACTTATAAGAACTACATGTATAAAGTATGCTTACAATAAATAGATTATTTATTAATACATGTACATATTAACTGGGATACAAATGAATGATTATTTTCTATCTCCTGGTGTTCCAACATGAACTATTAATAGTACTTATTAATACTTTAGACACAGGTCTATTGGTCGCTTTTTGTTTGTTTGTTTGTTTTTTTAAGCAAATGACTGATCTTTTATAGTGCCGTCAGACCGTGATCTTCTTGGTAGTATGATGTCACGGCTAGCTCAAGTAGAGCAGCAGCTGAAAAATGCCCAAACACAGCTACTTGAAAAGGTAATCTATTGATAATTTATTTGGGTTCCCTAGTTAAAATATTATTATCTCAATTGGTGTATTTTGTGTAAAAATAATTAAATACGTAACAACTATTGATAAAATTATTATACAAGTACAATATGGCAAATATTGAAAAATAAAAAGAATTAAAGAAACTGCCAAATATCTGCTGCGTAAAATTAAATACAGTCCAATTTTTAGTCTTTACTATTCAAAATTCCAATATTATATAGCACTTGCCCCTCTCTGCCATTGACAAGTTAAGCACACTGTAGGGTACTGTATGTATCAGTATGAAATTGATGTGAATTGTGATAGTCGAATTCAGCTGAAGTGTCGTTCTCATACATAATTATACTTGATGTACTTGTACACATGATACAGTACTCCAATCTGAAGGTCTGTAATTATGGTGGCCATTGCATGCAGTACCTTTGATGCCAGATCATACATGCATGCAACATTTTTAATTGTACAATGCATTTTAGTCTCAATTTATCTTTACAGTATATATGATTATAAATGATGATATCATATTAGCTAGTACATAAATTTTAATTTGCCAATCATCATCATCGGTCCTTATTGGGCTATGGGGGACACATAAGGCCTTAAATTGCCAATCAATAAAACAGAATAATGTGCTAAATTTTATATGAAAGTATATTCATTTTTTAGCCACCAATTTTCAATATTCAGTTTTAAATGATCTAAATAAAAGATTTGTGTTGGTAGTAATAATTAAACTTCAGCCAGGTGTGAACGGTCTTTGATTTACATGTATGGTTTTAAGTTGTAACCATACTTGTGCGCTTGAGACCAAGAAGAAATGAGAAGTGTATGATCGCGAGGCTTATCAGAGATTTATATTTCTCTTTTTCCTGCTTCTTACATTTACATGTAAAAGACATTTAAATTCACGTACTCTGTTTAATCGTTATAACTTTTAATCCGTAACCCAAGAAAGTTGTGGAAACACTGACTCGCTTGTGAGTTAACCATATTCCTACAAGGCATTTCTCATTCTTCCAATTTTCCACTTGTGTTTCTATAACTTCACAGAAGTTACATGGAAACTTTTTAATCGTACATGTATTAATTTTCTTAAACAAAATTAACTTTTGTCGTGTTTTAATGTTTATGGACTTGGTTGTGTGCAATTTTCAATAAAATATTGGCTTGTATTTTTTGGTCTACAAAGTTCAATTTTGTTAAATTTGTTCAGCTGTAGGTTGGAAATACAATGTAATTGCATGCACTTTTACTGCATGTACACGTATCTTACTTTAAGTTCTGTTTTACATATTGAGTATAATTTACAGTTAATATATGCAGTATTTGACAATGTCTACAGTACTTGAAATCATGTTCATGTTAGTTTCAAGGTCTGCCTCATGTTTATCAATTACATAATTTATATAATTAATTGTAGGATAAGAAGATCCACATACTAGAAGAGAAAGCAAAACTGTTGGAAAAAGCAAGAGGTAAGAACACAAAAATTTATTTATAATTATTTAATTACAGTCAACTCTCTCTTAACGGACACCTCTATAAGACAGACACCTCTATAAGACGGACACCTAGTGCTGGTCCCGGCCGTTTCTCAGTCATTTTACTATAACCAAGCTCTCTATAAGATGGACACCTCCATAAGACGGACAACGGACAATTTGAAATCGTCAACGGACACTTTTGAGGTGCTGAATGTGATATCGTTTTAGACTTGGTGCCGCGAAAGACAGTCCTGAGTCATGAGATGATTATGTTCCCGTTTGCAGAATGTCCTGTTCCCAGTTTGGACTCTAGTTAACCCTTTAACTATTGATTGTAATACAAAAAGAGATTCAATGTTATAAATATGTGTTAGTTCCAGTTTGTAGGTTTCGTTCAAGTAAATAACTTAAAAACAAACTTTAAACAGACACTTATTCACTGTGCATAAGTTCAGCATTATGATCTAAAAATTCCTGGGGTCATATTACATCGACTCTCTACAAGCCAAACACCTCTCTAAGACGACAGCTGAGGCCAGTCCCGATGGTGTCCGTCTTAGAGAGAATTGACTGTATTTATTTTTATAATATAGATAGGACCCTGCGTGCACTCTGATTGGTTGAAAACCCATGTTTTATCACAGTATAAAACATAGAAAAATGTGTGTTTTATTGTTTTTTGCCACATTACCTCTAAATCATAAAGGAAATGAAGAAGCCTAAGCTGTGCATTACACTGTGATAAAACACTCTGGACATTTGAGAACACTCAAGAAATGTAGAAAACACTCGCCTGTGGCTCGTGCTTTCTACATTTCCCTCATGTTCTCAAATGCCCATCGTTTCTTATCACAGTGTAATACACAGCGTAAGCTTCTTTATTTGTTAAATTATTTATTTATTTATTTATACATTTATAAATGAATTTATCATTAATAGCAAGAATGCTTAGCATTACCATTTTAGATTTGATTGAAATCTATACATGTAGGGTACATTTCAAACTAAAACTACCCTGAACTGTAAGAGCTACATTGTGTCCCTCTCAGCCTATCAGGCTTCAACCTAATGCCAACAAAGTTGAACACAACCAGTTCTTCCGTTCATTTGTCTTTCAGGATATAACTCTGGCACAATAACAGAGTTAGAGAAAAAATGCAAAAGACTTCAGACACAAGTGTTTCAGATGGAGGTAAAGAACAGCAATTGAAAAAATAATCATCAAAATGAATTGTTTCTTTAATAGTTAATAAAACATATCATTTGTTCAAGATGACTCTCAATTACATGTAGCATACTCATATAGAACGTCCTAGCTTAAATGTACAATTTTTAGTTACCATGGTATTCCTACATAGTACATACATGTATAAAAGTGACAATGTTCCCCTGTAACACTATCAGATTTTAGAATCCTCTTCTCAACATGACACAATGTGCATAAATTGTACATTGTATTGCATGTACATATAAGCCAAATGAATATAAACTTAATCGTGTATATGATTTGCCTTAAGGTTGTTGTTATTATTGTTGTTGTTGTTGTTGTTTTGCCTGTAGTTTACCCTAGGCCTCTTGGGAATCTTTCTCTACTAGAGGATCATCAAGGACCCTTGGGAATCTTTATGAAGTTGATCATATGGAGAATCTTGATTGAGATTCTCAAAGATTCTTGCCAAGATTTTGAAGGATCTTTACTTTATTCTTCAGCATCTTCAAAGATCTTGAGCAGATCCTCAAGGATCTCTCTGAAGATCTTTCAGACCAAGATCCTTGGGATCTTCAAGGATCTTCAAAGATTTTGCTCTTGAAAGATCCTGTCATGATCTTTGATGATCTTGGAGGATCCTCGAAAAAAAAAATTTCTAAAGTTACAAGATCCTTTGTTTAAGGATCTTTGCAAGATCTTTCAAAGATCTATTAAGAACCCTTAAAAGATCCAAGGTTATCTTAAGGATCTTCACTAGGTCCTTAAAGATCACCTGTTGTAAGATCCCCAAAGATCCTGTGGGATTTTTTAAAAACTGAAGTTAACTTGAATTGTTGCTTATTTTAAATTGTTTCTCTTGTATAAACCAACATTTTTATTGTCTCTCTACCAGGACTTTTTAGCTGATTACGGCATGGTCTGGGTTGGAGATGATAATGCCGATTCTGATTACGATGTTTTAGAAGAAACACCATCTTCAGTTCCCAGCTCTCTAAGCAGACAGCAACAAGTTTGGAATCCAAGTAAAACAGATAGGTTACATTATCATACCAGAAGTTTATAAAAAGTCTCAGTCCCCAGCCATTTCAGTGAAAAGCTGCTTCTTGAGTTTGTAAAATGTAAAGTTCCATAAGATTGCCACTCATCTCCCTTTAACTTTTCTTTTTGTTTTACGATATTACATTACTTATGTACCATTTCATGCTGTTAAACTGTACATGTAGTAGCAGTTGTTTAGCTTGCTATATTTAATCCTTTACAGCAATATTAAATTTCTTTTTCTTTTTTTTTTTTTTGATACTTTTAGATTCTTCAGTGGTTAATACTGCAGCATACAAGTTGAAAATGAACTTTGATGTAGTACTTAAGAACATCAGAGAACTCAACATTCTGGCAGGGGAGGGCTGTAGCGAAGTGTCACGGACGAAAGATGGAGCCAGACTTAAGGTACATGTAGTGCATAGCCTGCTGTTCACACTCACCCAATCCTTTTTGTGCCCTCTGGCATGTAAATCCATTTTCTGTTCGAATCAATTCACGATTTCTGGGGGAAAATGAAGAATAAAGCACTGCAGGGGAACCTCGATATAACAAAGGGCCAAGGGACTGGCAAAATATGTTTGCTATTCTGAGGTTTCGTTGTATCAAGGTTTTGCCATACATTTTACTATTGCTGGGATAAAGAATATGATTGGTTATACCGAGGACTCCGTTATAATTATAGAGGTTCGTTGAATTGAGGTTCCACTGTGCTTAGTGAAACACGACCTTAAGAGAGGAACTACTTGTAGGAGGCTCTAAAAGAAATACGTGCATGTACGTATCAATCAGCATGCTGTAGTTTACTTATTAATACATAAATAAGTTATTTATTATTGTTAAAATAGAAAAAGAGGTTTCAATTTCAAATCAAACCCACTGGTTGCCCAAAAAAGCAGTATTAAATTTGGAAGTTAAGCTCAGAGTGCTAGCCTAAAAGGTTTCCGAAGCTTTTACAATAATAAATTAATTGAAGCTAATAGTCGAATATACATGTACAGTTACGAATGCTATGTAACTACATCACAAAGTGTTTGTAAAAAATGTCTTCAGAAAAGACGCTACCATCAGAAAATACTCTAAGCTAAAGGTTATTGCAACATATATATATTTCCCAAAATAAACTTAAGTTTATATGTAGACAAACATATGCACTTGTCTAATATACATGTACAATCATGATTTGGACTGTAAGGAAGATTTCCCACGTGAAAGCATATGTGAAATATGCAAGCATTGTCCCACTATTTACTAACAGTAACTGTATTATAATACTATTTCTCTGTATGCAGGTTCGTGATTCTGTGCCGTTGACATTGTATTCTAATGGTATTTTGATGTTTGGTGGTCCCTTCAGGCCATATTCTGATCCAGTTACTCAGGTCAGTGTTTATTTAACAATTATCTCACTTGTGTTTATTGTAATTGAGATCATCATTTATCTCAACTCATAGCCGATTGTTTTATCATTGAACAAGGTATTTTCTTTAACATTGAAATGGTTACTTCTAGTGTTACGTCAGTCTGTGGTGTCTTAAATTGTATATTAACGACTCTGGTCTTAAGAGAAAGTTTGATCACATGATTTGAATGACAGGCAGCAAAACGAACATCCTGTGAGCAGAGCCTCTTTTTATCTATTGCAGTAAGAATACGAAGCATAGACTACAGTAAGAAAAAGCTATGCCTGCGGGGTGCAAAACCATGGTTCAAAATTTAAATTGAATAAGGCAGCTGAAGCGGATGAAACAGACTAATATTCAGTTACAAGCCTTTGGGTAGACGAATACATGTATATTAAAAGTAAAGGTTTGCTGAAAAACTTTAGTAGAAATATTACAACTAGAGTAGTCCGACGTTTCGATGTTCCTAACATCATTTTAAAGGCAAGAGTGAAAATATCATGTTGACATAAGAAAATACAATACAATACAATGCAATGCAATGCATTACAATGATTTATTAGTATCAGTATTTTATTAGTCTTATTTGTAAAAATTTCGTCTAAAAGTAGCTAAAAATTACAAAGCCTCTAATAAGATTCAAAGGTTACATGCAAGGTAGAATTGTAATTGTACATTTATACATGTATACACGTACGAATTTTATTTAAAAAAGTAACAAAAAATGTGAAAAAATATATTTAAAGTAATATATTGAGTGAAAAACATAATTAGCACTTTTTGGGTATGTTATATGAATAACTTCGCGCGGAATGAGTCTGCTTGAATGTTCAAGAATGGCTGGCTTTTATTATTATTATTATTATTATTATTATTATTATTATTATTATTATTATTTTATTTTTTATTTATTTTTTTTATTATCGGCATTTTGTAAATGATACCACTCAAATTTGCGTCGGCACTTTTTGAGAACCGAAAAGTTGTTAAACATATTCGGTTTTGACTTTGAAAGCATCTCGAAGATGTGTTTCCCAACGGAAGAGTTCAAAGAGCTATGCTCTGTAACACGTTGCAAGTTGCAGAGCATACAAAAAAATGTTACATGTAAGTGGAAGATATAAATAATTGTAGAGTTGTACATTGCGTTCAACCTTTGTTTACAACTATAGCATTACTGGTATGGATTACTAATTCCTGTATTCATGATTTTCTGCAGCAATGTATGCAAGACTTAATGGATGGATTCTTTCCCAGTGAATTACAAGCTAGATATCCTGATGGTGTTCCATTTGAGGTACAGGCATCGATCATACAGTTGCTGCATTTTAAATTTATTTATAAATAATAAATAAATAATATTATTATTTATTTCATTCATTACAATTTCAATAGCAGACAGGAAATAAAATTATAAGCCACGCGAATAATCCGTAAAGGAGTCTATAACCCTTTCTGAAAACAGATCACCGTGATGCACACTAACATTGCAATGTATTAATTTTCAAATAAATACAGCGTAATCCTCTGACAAGAAAGTAGTTAACGAGACAAAGTAGAGTGGGCTAGCCAGTCCACTGATTCGTAGGCTTGCTCGTTTATACATGTACATGTATGTTTCTATGAATGAAATACGCAACCACATTTTCTCTGGGATACCAGAATATCGATAAAATAGCTCCTTGAAAGCACTGATGTCACAAAGTTAACGTAAGTGTTTTCCCAAGTTAATCTTGGGAACAAGTTTCGTAGAATACGTCAGAATAGATCACTGCATATTTAAACCGTTTTCTCACGACAAAGGTTCAAGACAAAAGAGATGTGGTGTTTGAAGACAGACGGACCGCGTTGTTGTTTCCTGGTACTGGGCAGTCACTGGTGACTGAAGAGGACGTTAAGAATCACAAAGTGGAAAGTCAAACACCAGGTTTGTTTTGTCCATCAGGTCGTTACCTTTTGTGCATTCGCAGTGATGTATACTTTAGTGTCAGGCCACTCGACAAATAGGAAAATGTATTTTGACAAGGTTTGGAAATCTTGATAATATGTTAACTACCAGATGGGTTCCATTTGATTTGACAAAATCAATATCAAATTTTTACACTTGGCGTTTTCCTTTTGTGGCATGTTGCCCTGTTTAGTCTTCACCAGACCTTCCTCGCACACTCGGTAAAATCAAAGACAAGCCAACAGAGAATTGTAATAACGGTGTCGATTAAAGGATGCCAAAATGCGGTGGAAAACTTTTTCACTGGAAAATAGCACACTTTTTTTATTGTGTTTACATAGCCTCATCTAAACTCGAGGAGGGTTGGGAGAATTCGAGACAGTTATGCAAACTTGAGACGCAGTCTCGAGTTTGTATGATTTTCGAGAATTCTCCCAGCCCCCCAAGTGTTTAGATGAGGCTACACGGAACAAGTACTCTGTTGCTTTTGTAAAATATTTCTCGAAAATGCGCGCGAATCTAAATCGTCCCAACCGTGTTTACATACACTCATCGAAACACACCCATCAACCAATGAGAGCTCGCCGCTTAGTATCATATAGTAGTATATTATTTTCATAACTGTCTATAACTGCACTTCTTCTGTCAGCAAGCTTTCTATATAACAGCATATATACATCGCTTAGGTTTAGTTCAATGATATTTTCACTGACGCCTTTTGTCTTGTAGGACAAAAGCAACAGTCTGTAGATCAATTCCTGTCCCGCCTCCCCCAATCTGTTATTAAAGATGGTAAAATAATTGACGTCAGATCTGGAGTAGCAAATGTTATCAAGGTTTGTGACAGTATGGCGTGAAGTTAGGCCCCGTCCATATTACGCCGGAGAAATTTGAAAACGGCATTTTTTTTTTTTCTGCGGCGTAGTGTAGACGGGGCCTTAAAGCTTTTGGTTTGATTTCGCTATTGACCCAATTTTGACCCAGGTCAACGCAACTACATTGTATCTGTTTTAACTATTTAGTTTGTCATTCTCAACAGGGTGGGGAGGGTCATTCGGATGTCAAAGTTCTGGATACTCCTGTTCTCCAAGAGATAAAATCGAGGTAAAATAAACATGATTTTTTCTACATCTGAAGACTTCATTTCCCGATTAGTCTGCTGAATGTACCTGTAATCGTATCAAATGTTGGTTCATAGGAGTACAGATGGTCCGAGGCCACAGTCAGGTACAACTCAAGTTTCCACATTGAGGATCAAATCTGAGACTGGAGAAATGGTAAAGCCGGCTTGAGTATTGAACGTATTTTAAGGAGATACTTTTACTACTATGTACGTATTGACTGAATGAGAGGGCCGAAGGGAGAACATTTGACTTGAGAAAAAGACGTACAGACTGAGCTCAGCAAGGTCCGTGCTTCCTGACCGAGAGCCAGATATTTCTCCATCCGGCCCTCCCATTCAGTCAATAAGTATTTTATCATATGGCCGTTTTGTTTGTTTGTTTGTTTGTTTGTTTGTTTTAATTTTTCGTGAACTTCTTCATTTGCGAGGTGTGTCAATTTCTTTCTGTGCTTTCGGACTAAGTTGGCAACTTATGTAGCTGCGCATCCGAAAGTTTGTCAGTAAAGTAAATTCGCTGTGAGAATGTTGACCTTCATCACTGATTTCTTTTGAAGAAAACAAAATTTGACAGCAATAAAATTGTTTCTGTCGTTAATAACTCGCATCGATTTTGTGGGGCCGCACGCGTCTCTAGTGGGGCCGGACGCGTTTCTATCGGGCCTATCACTTCGACGCATACGGCCCTCACACGGGACCTTTTTTCTTCTGGTTTTCCAAGGAAATACTTCGCGGGGCTGTACGGGTCATATGATAATTAAGCTTAAAACCTGACATTTCTTTTCGCTTTAGACATACATATTGAAGATGAAGTTTACAGACTGTATACGCGATGTAAGGAATCACATTGATGCTGTAAGGTACGTCACAAGATAACCATTTGTTTTATTCAATATTTCAACACGAGTTTTGTTTTCGTGCAACTTCGTTTCGATAGATTTACTTCATAGGCATTCAGAAGTGGTATGGAAATTTGGAATGTTATTAACACTAAAATGATTCTAAAAGCGTACAACTTAAGAAAGGGTTCATATGTAAAAGACTTTCTTGTTCCAGATTTACAGAAACTTCTAATTTGAGTAACATAATTATGCAACTTTGTTTTGTTGTGTTCTTCAGGCCTGCAGATGCACCTCTCTATGACATCAAAACGTCTTTTCCTAACAGAGTGTACGATGATCCTACTGCAACTCTACAGGAGTGTGGCCTGGTGCCAAATGCGACCCTTCATCTTCTAGCCAAGAAAGTGTGACATAATACAATTAAAAAGCGTTCAGACACTTAAGATATAGAACAGCGTCTTTACATAAAAAAAGGAAACGTAACTCTCCCTTACAATGTAATGGAACAAAAATGGCCAATTCGCGGTAAATACCATTAGGTACATGTGATGGTAATTCGCAAACAGCGAAAAAGAAAAAAAAAGTTTTATTCCTTCTTTTGTTAGCGGTCTATACAATAATGTTTAAAAAAAATTGTATTTGCTGTAAAGAGGAGAGAGGTTCCCCCCCCCCCCTTTTTTTTCTATTTATTTCTGTTTTCAATTCTTTTGTTGGTGGGAATGATTAAAGCATTAAAGGAAAAGAGAACATTTCCGAAATATTCAGGTTCATTGTTTTAAAACTGTGAACCTGGTCCGTCTCACTCTAGAATGATTCATGGTAGAGGTTTCTCTGTGTATATTACGTAAGTAACTTAATAAACATCCAGTACGGAAATGCAAGTTATTCCTTTCAACGTCGAACACACGCTTTTATATATTTTGTGTTCTCCTTTTTTCATTAATTCATGTACATTGCACATACCGTTCAATTCTTCCAATATTCTTTTGCTGGAAACGAATAAGTTAGGATCATTCAGATAGGCAAATTCTCTGCTGATACTTGCACTCAGGAGCAACAGGTCGTTCGGACTTACGTTCCTTCAAGTGTGATGGATGTTTGTGGGTGGTATGCCTCACTTTAAAGGTGTCAGTTCGTTTTCCGACACGCCAAGTGTAGTTATAAATAATTGCAGCAAGTTACCAGGGATGCTTGTATACAAGATATTGTTTTATTGGAGTATTGTAGTACATGATGTAGGGGAAAGAACTTAATATAATTTATTCCCTGACCTGTGGACATAAATATTTGTAAAGAAATATTTATTTCGTTATTTACCCGACATTAAAAACAAATAGACAACGTTCTGTTTATTCTATGGCACGTTAGTATTTAAGGAAATGTGCAAACTAAAACTGATCCCTACAGTAAACTTTGATTAACCTCTTGATTCTCAATTGTTTTAATGTTGTTATACAGCTTGTTATACACCATATCAGATAAGCTGACAGCATGGTAAAATCTAAAAACGTTCTCTGGAGAAAAGTATCTAAAACAACAAGCTTTCGACTGTCTTAACTACAGTCTTCAACGTGTGAAATGGTAAAAAGGCACTAGCGCGGCCCTTCTCCTTCATATGTTTAAGCTGACTACAGTTCTGATTTGTTTTCCCCAATGCTGGCTTCCTCTTTGGAAGAGATTTGAATAACTATTTTCCCAATATTCTCATTTGCTTCCATTCTCTTATGTGCTTGCTGGACTTCATCCATGGGAAACACAGAGTCCACAATGGATCTGAGCTTTCCATTTGCAAACTGTGGAACGATTCTTTCTGTAAATTCTTGGGCCAATGCCGCTTTATACTGTAAAACAATGCAAATTACATTTAACAAGTTAGTATTTGTTGTATAAAAGAATAAAAAACCCAAACGTTTTGGAGTAAACTGGCAGAAGTTTTCGAAACGCAAAGTTGTTTTTAAGGTAATAGGAACTTACTGAGCGACATAAATAACGTTTTCGTTGGCGGATGACACCGCAATAGGTTGGGGCTTGGCCGGTTGTATTCTCGGTATAACATAAACGTAAAACTATGAGATTTAGTTGAGGGACAAAGCACTTAAAATAGCATTGTACTGTTGATTGGATGCTAAATAGTCGGGCAGAGAAAATGCCTGTAGCACTGATTATTTAACGCGTTTTGTCATCAGGATAGAATTGTTCTCAGCTCGAATCTAAGTCCTCTCTTCACACGGTATTGAAAAGATCTCCCTGTGATCTTTCTCACACACGTAACATCTCTGAAAGTTTAAAAAATCGATGGCACACAAAATGGCACTTACACTAAGGGGTCTACTCCTCAGAGTTGTGGCGATAAGAGATCCTCTCTTTTTAAGCAAGTCTCCGAGTAGGTTCCCTGAGATCTGTCCTCCACCCAACAGTCCATACAGAACCCAACGGCCATCCACGGAGAGACTTTTGATATTCTGTTCCCAAAACGAACTTCCAACACAATCTAGAATCACATTTACACCTTTTCCTAAAACAAACAAAAATGAAATGAAATAAAGAGCATTGGCCATCTAAGACATTTTCTTTCAAGCTCAGTGCAGCATGCGGACATTAATTAAGTTCAACAAAAGATCAAAATCTACAACACCCTGGGTCGTTGATGTACTATTTCCAAAACGAGAGCGAGTGTTTCATCGGGGTATCCAAACACCGAGAAACAAATGAAAGCACGAGGCCGTAGGTCGAGTGCTTTTATTGTTTNAATAAATATTCATTGATTTTGTGCAAGTTGTCATTGTGCATATTTTAGTGGTATATACCACTCTCACTGGGGAGTGGTATATACCACTCTCAATGGAGAGTGGTATACTGTTTTTCATTGGGTATCCAAACACATGCACGTGATGTGGTATACATCTTGTGGTTGGTAGTTGACCTTATGAATTATTAATGAGTTTGAGAAGAAGAAAGAACAAATAGCTAGAACAATAGCACAAGCGTAGAGTACATAAAATAATTACTGTGTCGGTACTGAATTAATTTAAGCAAGAACGCTCGCTTAAACTGTGTTCGGCCACCTTAAGTCTACAACCCACCATCACCGACCTGTGACGCGCGACCCATAACCCGGGACCTGTGACCCGCGACCCACGGACCTGCAACCCACGACCGCAGCAATACCTTGTAGTTCTAATTACCTGTCGTTCAGTTTGAACAATGACCCCGGGGTTTGACTTTCTTTCAACTCAGAAGTTACTACAAAGAATATAAAAACAATGCTATTACCACCAGTAACACTTTCTATCCAACTGGAAAAATTTCCTGTTTTGTAGTTAAACCCTCCCTCGGCTCCAAGTGACTCTGCCATCTTGATCTTCGCCTCCGAACCTGCAGTGACATAAGGCACTGCTCCAGCCAACCGTGACAGCTGAACCAGCGCTGTACCAACACCGCTGCCACCCGCGTGGATAAGCACTACTTCACCACTCTCAACTTTGCCGAGAAAGTGCAGGAGTTGATATGCTGTTAGCCAGACTTCAGGAATGGCTGCCGCATCGGAGAGTTTGTAAGAGTCGGGTACTGGCATTACAAGAGCTTCCTCGACAGTACAATATTCGGCATACCCTCCTCCTAAAAATGAAAAATTATTAACAGTGGCGGATCTAGGGGAGGGGNAGGAAGAAAAGCCGGCAGGGAAAGTAAATAAAACAGGGGTTCCCCCCCCCCCTAGCTCAAAGTCTGGATCGGCCTCTGATTGATGACATCTTATTTACATCATGTAATGTGTATTGCCATTTGAAGTATGACTTCTAAAGCTGCCTTCTAGCAGTTAAAGTTTTGCGCGTGATTGTATGACGGGATTTGCACGTGGAACCCATATGCACTTTACAAAGGTGTTGAAGATATTACAGCCGGACTCTATGTGAGCCACGTACTAGCTGAAAAAGCTTGACTCAAAATAAGGGCAACGTAGATGAACACTGGTGTAAGATGACCAGCACCAAAGTACCTCTATGTGCCCTTTACTATGCCAAGTTCAATGTTAGTCACTAAATATGTGATGTACATGTGTAGCAGACGTTTTTAACTTGTTGATCACTGAAAACTGATCGTGGACTGATGCATTTAAAGGGATGCTATATACAGGTGTATATAGGATCTACCATACCATGGTAATGATTTAAGTATTGGAAACAATTGCTCACCTCCCAGCAAAGACATAACTTTGTCACCCTTTCTGTGAAAAGCAGAAAACAAATTCACATTCTTTGAAGAGGTTACAAATTACATTCACCTAAATTCTATTTCTCCCATTAGCAAGTTTCCCCCCTCTGTACACAAGCTTCCCCTGTATACAACCCCCATTTCTCCCTGCATCCCTCCCCCCAGCATCCTAGATTCCCCTAGTAAAGTTTTGTTTTTTTTTTTTGAGATATGAGTACATAATTACACACGCAGTGAGTAAAATATAAAAAAACTTGTCTTAGTTGCTGACTTCGGTACGCGTCACACAGTGAGTATTATAAACAAGAGAAGTTGTCTTAGTTGCTGGCTACGCGGTATGCGGTGAGTAATATACACAAGAGAAGTAACTTTTCTTAGTTACTGGGTATGCGGTAAGCAGGGAGTAATATATTGAATTGAAGAACCTCCCCACCCCCGCCTCTCCGAGGTTTTCTGCCTGCAATCAGTTCTTCTGCGATGAAGTAAACATGCGAAGAGCGGATGACAATCTCTGTAGAAGGCCAATCATTTTGGATTTTGGCGGGACATTGCTAATGTCTCTGAAGCCGTCCTTGAAGGCAGTGAGTCGTTGTTGAGCAGCTTCGGAGAACATGTAGTGGGATGATGCCGGGGTGTCGTGAGCGTCGTGCGTTTCTAGGAAGATGTCAGAAACCTGTTTCAGGTTTAAGTCTTCACTTTCAAACCAGGGGCGGGCTTCTTCTTTCTCAATGGTAGTTGGACGCAGGCACATTGGAAAAAGAAACATGAAGCAGTCTAGCAAGCCATGGCCCTGGCCCTCCATGCGACGGAGTAGACGTGCGGCGTAGGTCACCTGGGAGGATCTCAATATTGGGCGGTATTTCGCGGGTTCTCTATGTTGCAAATCGTTAGAATAAACCTTCTTCCGGAGAAAAGCTGGCATAAAATCTGAACCGGTTGCATTTTAGAAGTTTATTCAGATCTTCAAAAACCTCTGGCGAGACAATGAAGGCTTTAATCGTTGTCAGTTTCATAAACAGTTTTCACTAAGGCCGATAAAGTGCACTTTTTAATTATGCAGTTTTGCATGTCTGGCTCGGTACGTCACATCGTGCACTGGTTGAAGTGCGCCTTCCTTCAGGCTAGGGCTTGCGATCTCCCCGTACCCGGTGGAACGATGAAGACTATGTAAAGGCTGGACGTCTAGATCCTAGCCGGTTAGCCCCTAACCGTTTAACCCCCCAAAAAGAAGACGATTAGCCACAGTCAGAAGTCGATTAGCCCCCAGCAAGAAGTCGATTAGCCCCCATTCACGCTTGAAGAACAAGAAATAGGCAGTGTTTTCAACTTCTGGTAAGCTACACGACCGGTTACCGGCACAAGGTATCCGGGACAGGAGCCAAGCGAAGCTGCTTTTTTGTTGACGAATTCGGCAACCGAAGGAGGGAAAAAGCAGTCATAATCAAATGTTATGGAAATTAACCGACGATGCAGCTGACCCTAGGTTCTTTCGTGTTGCTTTGCAACTTTCGCTAATTTGGACATTTTCTTATTGTGTATCTCAAAGAGCTGGAGTACCTTGCTGTGTAGCGTATGGTTTCGGAATGAGCAGTGGCATGAACGATGGAAGCTTATAAACGGGTGTTTTTTTTTTTTAACAATTGAGGCAATTGAAAGTTGATCTCAGAAGAGTTATTGTTACAAAAGAAACCATAGAATCGCGACGTGAGGCAGTGAAATTAATAACAAAAGACCAGCTTGCGATGAAATAATGAATCTTATACTACAAAAGCGACAATGATTCCCAAACACAAAAACAAAAGAAGAAGCGAGGCGTAGATAAAAACAACGCTCGAGTCCTTGTGGTTGTAGTTGATGTTCTGTCGCAATCGCGGGACAAAGATAAAATCTGTGATCATACAACTAACTGGATATTAAAATGTGCTCTTCAAAGCGCGTAATTTTCGCTTTCAAGCTTTTGATCCTTGCTGTGCGCATTAACATTGTTCATCACAGGCATTACTGTCAAACCAAGTGAAGCGCACCACTCAAGATTGATTATTTGAATATTGAACCCGCTAGTGGTTTCAAGAATGCAATGAGTTGATAAATCGAATATTGAACTTGCTAGTCGTTCCAATTCGACAGTATGGCTAACGGGTTCAATATTCAAAAAATCAATTCATTATTGCACTCTTGAAACGACTAGCGGGTTCAGTATTCAAACAATTAATTCATTATTGAAGTTGAAATGATTAGCGGGGTCAATATTCATAATAATCATTTCATTAATGTAGTTTTGAGGGGTACGCTTCACTTGGCTTGGTGTCATTCTCGTTTTAAAGTGTTTTAAGACTGAGAAGTAAGTTAATGTGTTTTATTAGTTGATACGTAGTTAGAAGCCCGTTATTCGTTTCAGTTGAGAAGTAGTTAGAGGAAAGTCACAATCAATCAGTAACTGCTTACTTTGCGAGTCAAGTTTTTAGAAGACAAATGCTGCATATTTCTCACTGCGTACCGCGTACCGCGTGGCCATCGCCCGGGGGGGGGGGGGGGGGGGGGGGCCTTGCCATATATGGGCTATATAGGTATGTGCCGCTGTGAAGTGTATGGTTTTCAAGCAGTTTACTCTAGGATAGGGTATATAAATCAGAGCGTTTGGGTCTAGAATAGGGTATNAGCTGGCGTTGGATACGTTACAATGACGTTAAACAGCCTCTGGCCCTGACAGACAAGGACCGACTACTTTTAAATGAAAAAAGGTACCCTTCCACATACTTCATAACTCGCCCGTATTGTGAATAAATCGCCAAAAAAAAAGTTCTCTTGTCATTTTCATGTAGTGCCTAATAAATTAGTCCATGGGCCGGGACAGGTTCATTAAATGAAATGATAGAGCCGTAAGGTGCGCCTGTTCGAAATATTTGATTAAATACCTTGTAATTTTACTAAATGACAGATATCGCTACCCTTTTACATACCTCAACTTGAGAAATTCCTACCATTTTATATAACTGAAGCCTGAAAACGGTACCCCTTTCGGGCGGAGCCTCCCCGTATAGGCTATAAAAGGGAGTACCCCTCCTCCCCCCCTCCCCCCCTCCCTCCCCGGCCTGGCCAACGTAAATAAAGGACGCCATTTTGAATTCACAATTTATCTGTTACACGAATAAATGCGAGTTTCTTCGTACCGCGAAGCCGGCTAAGAGGAACAGTGTATTCTGTAGTTAGACCATAAAGACGTGGTCAAGAGTTCGGAAATCGATTGAGTTCGATTGTTTGCTATTTTTGTGAGAGTTCGATTTCGTTCGATTGGGTTCGATTGACTGTGCCGGGGATATTACTTTAACCTTCTCTGTCTTTCCACCTGTATCATCCAGATAAAACACTTACTTCCATTGGCGAACACACTCCTCTCCCACCTCCTCTATCACACCAGAAACTTCTATTCCCAGAATGTCCGAATCCCCCGGCGGGGGGTTGTAGAGGCCTCGTCGTTGCAGAGTGTCAGCTCGATTTAGCGCTGTGTACTGCACGCGGATTAAAACACGAGTTTTCTCCGCTTTAGGCTTTGGAACTGTACCTATACTTAAATTTTCCACGCCACCGGTTTTGTAGAGTACTGCTTTCATCGTTGGATCCCCACAAATGAACGCAGCCCTGAAAATATAAACTGATAGGAAACAAAGAAAAGACGTTTCTCTGCTCATGGTGGAAGCCTGGAGACAAGTTAGTTAGTCATACTTGAATGACTATCAAGCTCAGGGAAATGTTGCTATTGATTGCAGGCTCAATTTTCAATATGGCGGACGAAGCCGTGGATTTTGAACCTGACTCAAAACGTCCTAGAATAGCTTTGGAATCGTCGCAATCAAATCTTCAAACAGGGACAGATGATCAAGCTGGTGAAGAGAAAACTTACGAGTTACCTAAGTGCGTTCAGGGAAAAGATACTGACGGAAACCTTGAAAGGAAAAATCCAACTGACCCAGAACACGTGCGCGATGGCAGCCCTGAAGAGACACGAAACATAAAAGAAGAGAACCCGGGAAACGATGTATCGGTTAATGAATCATCTAAAAGTGGACTTGATGCTGTGATCGATACTTGTGTTTCTGAAAAGGACGTAGGAATTCTTGAATTCGTGAGTAATTTTCCAGGCTTTCACGGCGTACTGAAGCAGAGGTATACAGACTTCATTGTCAGTGAGAGGGACCTTGAAGGGAACATAGTACGCCTGTCAGATACCTCAATACCTCAGGGTGACAAGACCAAAGAATTTGATCTTAATATATTAAACCTAGAAGAGAGAGAAAAACTCCAAAGAGTTGTTGATGATGAGGAGAAAAAGCTTTCAGTGACTTTATCTCCAGATGACGACAAAGATCACAGAAGATTAATTCACCGTGCCATTAGGGAAAACTACTCTTTCTTAGGTAAAGAAGATTTCACAATGAGTTAATATTTAATCCTAGTATTTGTTAAAATCAGCAAATATACCTTTGTTAACAGGATCTCTGTAGCGCTCCTCTCTTATTGGTCCTTTCTTATTGGTTCTTTGATTTTTACACATGCAGAAGTCATCTGAGATATATTTGTTTTCTTAGGCTTGGTAGTTTACATAAAAATTTAATCAATTTTATTTCAATTGTGCTTTATATTAAGAAGTCTCTCCTGTTTGTTTGTTTGTTTGTTTGTTTGGCTTTTGTGTGTGTGTGTTTTTTTTGTTTTTTGTTTTTTTGTTTTCCTGCAAAAAACAAACAAACAAACAAACAAACAAACAAAATGGGTATGCTAAGGTATAAGGGAGGTATAGTGGCCTAATGTGAAGTGTGCCGCACTCCAGATTTGAGTTCTGGCCAGAATCGTTATGTTGTGCTCTTAGGCATGACACTTCACTCTCAGAGTGCCTCTGTTCATGATCATCCAGGTGTGTAACTGGACATCAGTCAAATTAATGCTGGTAGGGGGAGTGGGTGGTAATCCTAATCCTGTAATAGACTAGCACCCCTTCTTGTTGGGAGAGACCAGGAGGTAGCATCTCTACAATAACCAAATTATTGCTCTTGAAACCCACTGAAATGTAGAACACCTGTGGAGCCTGATAAACTGCTTTACTGAACATTGTGGCTGCCACCTCATAATGGTACTCTTAACTTTGTCTAATGCACGTACATGTTTGTGTCTTTTATTGAACTCAAAATTGTGCTGGAATTTTTTCCTGTTTCTAATATGGACTTAATAACAAACTGGGCCTTTTTATTCTCAATTTCCCTACTGTAAGAGTTAACCATTTTCGTATTCTTTGTAGACAGTGACACAGTGGATGTAGGTGACAAAAAGGCAGTCAGAGTTTTCCATAAGCGGGATTCCAGTGGAAAGCAGAGAAATACTCGCTGGCCAGCTGAACTTGGCAATTATTGCTGGTTTGTTCTTTACAAGGAAAACAAAGACACTATGGATGCTATTAACCTTTTGAGCAAACTCCTTAAGATCAAAGCGGGCATGTTTGGCTATGCTGGAACAAAAGATCGCAGGGCAGTCACCACACAGCAAGTTTCAGTGTACCGAGTCAGGGCTGAACAACTGAAGGATCTGAATGCTTCCCTTTGGAATATGTGTGTTGGGAATTTTAAGTATTGCAGAGAGCCTCTTAAACTTGGTTCTTTGTCTGGAAACCATTTTATCATAACACTTCGCAATGTTGTTGGGGATCATGATAAGATAACAGAGAGTTTGGAGTCACTGAAAGTTAATGGGTTTATTAATTACTTTGGATTGCAAAGGTTTGGAACCACCTCAGTTCCCACGCATAAAATAGGTGAGTTTTAAAGTAATTACTTGTACATGTATTATCAGGTCATTTCAAAGTAAATGTATGGCGGTTTCTTTGTCTTTGTTTTCAATTAAACAAATTATTGCACTTGTATGTAAAAAGCATCATGTGCATGCATATATATACAGAGTCAATAGTGTAAAATGCACATGCACAAGAAAAGCTTTTAGTTTTCCATTTAACTTAGTATGCAATCTCAGTACATTGATGAGAATTGCACAAGACTTACCCTTGCCTATAACCTAAGCTGAATTGACATCTGAACATCAAAGATTTGAATTAGTTTTATGTGTAGTTTTAGTTTTTATTATCATTTTTATGTTTCAGAGTAGGCGTAATTCAGACTGAAAGTCATTAGGGCTCTAAATCTGTATCCATGCCTACATGTATCTTATGGAGGAAAAAAATTTTAAAAATGATGCACCTCACCCTGCTTGTACTTTGTGATACATGTACATGTACAAAAAAATGCCTTGTATTTCTAAAATCAGCGTCTATATTCTATTAATTTTACTTTTACTAACAAACTTGTTAAATATTTGTAAAATCTACAGGTCGTGCATTGCTTCTCAGTAACTGGTCTGAAGCCATAGATTTGCTTCTTGCTCCAAGAGATGGTGAACCAGATGATCTGAAGGCCGCTCGTCAATACTGGAAAGACACGAATGATGCCAAAGGGACTCTCAAGAGAATGCCCAAACGGAAGTGCATTGAGAGTGACCTCCTGCAGGGTCTGGTGAGACACGGGCCATCAGGCCTGGTTAATGCCTTGCAGGCCATTTCTAGGAACACACGGCTCATGTACGTCCACGCATATCAGAGCTATGTGTGGAACTCTATGGCATCAAGACGCATTAAGGTATTATTTGAAAGTTATGGGAATAGCACATTGAGGCTGAGACTAATGTGGGTAGCCTTTTCAAATGCAAATGATATTAATCTTTTTCAAATGATATTCCCCCGCATGAGCCTCTATTGCAAGCTACTTCCAGTTCAATACCGAGAATATGAAAATGGTCTGTCATAATTGTTCCATAGTCTATGTAAACAATAGCCTCCATTTGGCACGAAAATATGCTTGGATATTTCTCTGTGGATATTATCTGTTCCGAAAAGTGAACAATAATAAAGTGTATTATTGTTTGTCACACGATGTAGTCACTTTAGATGTAGATCGCGACGTTTCGACTGCTTACCGCTAGTCTTCTTCAGGCAATAANAATTGTTATACTGTGTTGGGTTTGTTAGGAGTACGGGCTTCAGCCAATCAAAGGAGATCTGGTTGTTGCATCAAAATCATCAGCTGCCTGTTCTACTGACACAGGTGAGTTGTATTTGCCATTTAAAGTTAAATTACACTATGCACATGCCTCATCATGTAGAATTACTTGTGCCATTTCTGTCCCCCTAGCTGGGATGCTCATGCGAATTATGAATCAAGTCTGGAAAATTCCACATATCCTCAAGGCAATAAAAAGTCAGATAATTTAGTTCCTGGATGTTCATTCTTCTCTTGTGCTAGTTAATACATGGAAGCTGAATAAAAATCATTCCAGCTGCTGCAATACTTTTCCTTTCTCTAATTCCATCAGTAGGGAATATCATTTTGTTGTCTAAAGTGACCAAGTAGAGAAGTTGAGAAGTTTTTCACATAGCAACTTTATTTGCTAAAAGATTCGCTCTCACATAACTGAATTAGACCTGTTTTGGCACAAATGGCTTCAATGATAATTACAAAATTCCTTCCTCCTTGGGTGGGATGCTAATTTCTTACAATTCATGGTCACTGACAATCATTTGACTATGTAAGGTAGGTAAACTCTGCATACTAGCCAAGTGGCCCATCAGACTGGCACTTATCTCCAGTTTCTGTCCACAGCATGAAGCGACTAAGAGTATTTCAACTCCCCCTGGATGGGATGCTAGTCCATCGCAGGGTTACCCCCAGCATTGAATTGGCCGGTACCCATTTGTACACCTGAGTGGAGAGAGGCACTGTGAGGGTAAAGTGTCTTGATATTGCCCAAGAACACAGCCCATTGCCCCCTGCCAGGGCTTGAACCCGGACCCGGGGGGGGGGGTACTCCCATATATGAGCTATATAGGTATGTGCCACGGGATAGGGTATGGTTTTTGAGGTTCTATAGCCTTAAATAGGGTATAATTTTCGCCCATGTTGGCATGGTGTTCCTGGTGTGATCCTTAGACAGGGTGCCTAAATTGTATCAGCTAAAATAGAAGTGTGTAAAAGTTGACCCGTTCAAGCTATTTCGAGTTTTTGTTTTTCCCTTCCATAGGGTGTCATTTTTCGGGTTTGGGCCTTAAATAGGGTATCAATTTTCGTTTGCTTCATCCTTAAATAGGGTCAGGGTTTAAGCCTATTCGCGGCACANTTTGTTTTTCCCTTCCATAGGGTGTCATTTTTCGGGTTTGGGCCTTAAATAGGGTATCAATTTTCGTTTGCTTCATCCTTAAATAGGGTCAGGGTTTAAGCCTATTCGCGGCACACACCTATCCGAAATTTATGGGAGTACCCCCCCCCGGAACCCGGACCACTTGATCCAGAGGCGAGCGCACTAACCATGAGGCCACCGCGCAACCATTTGACTTTGTATTCGTAGCAAAAGAATGGCTTAGAAAGTAAAACAAAAGAACTTAGATAAGACCAGGCTAGAGAGGGAAAGAGTCTTGTTCAAGAACACAAAATGACAATCCAGGATTTTTTTTACAGACGAGTCACAGATGCAGGATACTATCGAATTTATTTCTGAGCCAAGCCGAACAGCAGTAACAGTCGTAACCGAAGAACATCTGAAGAGTGGACAGTTCACAATCCACGACGTTGTCCTTCCACTTCCTGGATACGACGTTGTTTACCCTGACAACGAGCTAAAAGATCACTACAGACAAATAATGGCCAACGATGGACTTGACATTGGCAACATGAGGCGAAAAGTTCGAGACTATGCACTTTCAGGGGCTTATCGGTAAGTAGAAATGAAAAAAAAAATTAAAGAGCCTTTATTTACTTTGGGCAGTGTTTATAGTATAAAGGCTAATGGGGCCGAACAAACAACTGAGACAAATGATTTAAATCAATGAACATAACATTGTTGAGAATCCCAACTGGCCGGAGCAAACCAATTAGCTATTTACAAACATGGCCGAGGATTTGAACTCGAGGTTACCGTGAAACAAATCCAGGTAGTGGACAGAGCGGGACTCAAACCCGAGACTGCTGGATTGCGAGTCCGACGCGCTGACCACTCGGCCACGTTGGGTTTGTTCTTAAATGTTTTCTTCTAGTTGTACATACGCGGGACGTGACAGGTCTGTGTTCACGAAAAAGCTCCTGAATATATAGTAAAGCATCTCATGAGAGGGAAAGTGTAATGCAACGTTGCGTAACGGACAAGGAGCGGGATTGAGATGCGTTAGACGTAAGATTCGATACGCTAAGAGATGCGAGGCTACACGCAAGAACGAAACTTAATACGCGAGAAAAGAGACGCAACGCGCTAAAAGGAGACCCTAATAAATTGTCGATGATAAAAAAAATCTATCAAATTGTTATAACATGTACTGTCTGCTCATCTTCATGGATTGTTCCCCTTTGATTCCGCAATGACTCGCCTATGTGTTAAGAAAACCTTCGTTTCATAGGAAGTTACTCGTCAGGCCGAGTCTTACGAGCTGGCGTTGGATACGTTACAATGATGTTAAACAACCCCTGGCCCTGACAGACAAGGACCGACTAAATGTGGCTCAGGAGCCCCAGTCTGTTCCAAACGGAAAGTACTTGGCACTACAGATGGAGTTCACTTTGCCCACGTCAACTTACGCTACAATGGCTTTACGTGAAGTTCTGAGATGTGACACGTCATCAGCTTACCAGTCTACTCTCAACCAAGAGTGAGGCCTGGTTGCAATTGACAACTTGCTATAAGTATGGTAGACTCGTTAGAAATTCCATGTTTTCAAAGAAGGTCGTGCTGTATTGGGACCGTTCATTTCAGCTGAAATTGTTTTGCGTTAGTTAGGATCAAGTGCTTAAGAACCCATTTTCCAACGCCTTTTCTGTTGAAACGGTCAAAAACTTTTCAGTGTACTGTTGAAATCACCCAGTCAAACATGTCACAGTTTGACCGAGTTTAATGCCATTTGAAAACATTAATCAACCAAACAAGTCGGAAACGCTTTCTTCTAAACGAAACCAAACAAGAATGGTGAAAAATTAAGACATATTCCGCTCAAAGTTCGAGCAATAAGTGCAAAAACTATTTACTTAAAATCTACTCATAGCACGGTAACTATTTAAAACAACTCACTTTGGTTCATTTCTCTAAGTGACACCGCGATTAAATTCTCAAGCATTCTCGAGAAAGTTAATGTCAAACCTCAAGTTCAGTTTTCTCTCGCGGGGTCAGCTTGAGAGCTGAAGTCTCGATAAGTCCTTCTTAACTGTATTCAAAATATTACCATGCCATGAAGTTTTTTTTTTGTAACTGAATTTTTGCCATTGTTGCTCGAATGTTCTGCGGAAACCATCTTAAAAGGTAAAATTATTGGGAAATTTCAAACTAAGTACCAATTTAATTAAGTTCCCCACAAGCTATTTGAAATACTGGGAAGGGAATTTCTTTTCTTTTCTTTTCTTTTCCTTTGTTTTTCTTGTTTTTCTCAATGGAACAGAAAAAAACGTGAACAGAACAAGATTAATTGTCACACAATAAAATTGCGATAAAGTTGTTATTGCAGACTCTTTTAGTTGTTGTATTTTATTTCAACTGTGCGCACTATGATGCAATACAGTAATGTAATACAAAAATATTATAATATGGCTGTTTTACAATTTATCAACATGTTGATTGATTCTTGACATTTTCATCTTTGTTCTTGACTACAAGCAGTCTGTACTGTGCCTTATAGCTGTGGAGTTTTAATGTAGGCTTTTGATTTAATTTAGGCCTTCGCATTTCGTAAAAGTTAAAAAAGCAAGTCAGGTTTTTGGAAAATAGAATTGCACGAGAAAGGATACAAGGTCAAGGAAAAGAAGGTAATACACCAGAAAATCATATAAGATTGTATACCACAGACAGTGATATTTCAATGTACAA